CCCCTTGTATATAAGTACCAAATACAAGTGCTGGCATGATTAAATTATTTCCTTCAGTTTTCCCCTTTTACAGTGGGTATTTGGTATAGCACTCTTCTTATTTTTCAAATAAATTTCTCCACAGTTCTATTATTTTGTCCCATGTTTATTAAATTTATAGAAAATTTCCAGGCAGAATATTTATTTGAAATGCTACATTTATTTTATAAGTTGAAAAATTCTCACTGGTAGAACTCTTCTAGAGGCACTTGTATCTGGTACATAAGAACTGAACTTTTATATAATCTTTACTAAATGCTTCTAACATTTGTATAACTTCAGTATTAAAAGCAGTTCAGGATTTTATAACCACTTGTACTTAGATATTTCACCTTCACATGGGAAATATGCAATAATTTTGTTTGTTTTCTTTTAGCTATTCCTTTGTTTAAAATATGTTTGTTGTGCTTCTTAGTAAGTCTTAACAAACATTTTTTCTCTCTCTCTTTCCATCTCCGTGTCTTTAAACTTCCAAAAAGATTCTGATATTTGGTCAATGAAATGCTAATTTTAGAAAGTGGGTCAGACTTAGAACTTTTCATCAACCTCCTTGTATATAAGTACCAAATACAAGTGCTGGTATGATTAAATTATTTCCTTCAGTTATTTATTTCCTTGTACAGTCGGTATTTGGTATGGTACTCTTATTTTATAAATAATTTTCTCCATGGCACTATTATTTTGTTCCATGTTCATTAAACTTATAGAAAAATTCCAGGCAGAATGTTTATTTGTAATGCCATGTTTATTTTACAAGTTGAAAAATTCCCACTAGCATAACTATTCTAGATGGCATTTGTATCTGGTACAAAAGAATATTAAAAACTGAGTTTTTATACAAGCTGCAGCAGAAATACCTACAATATAACAATAAGAAATTAATGGCAGATGTGTCAGGGTTAGGCACTTCTGATTCCCAACACACCACTTTGACCCTTACTTGGACTAGATGGCCAGTCAGACAGGCCTGATCCGATCAATAGGCTGGTCATGTCAAGCCTTAGTGCCTATAACTATATCAATTTATGGAGTACTTTATAACAAAATACAGTACCCCAAATATATGCCTGGATTACCATCTCTGTCCAATTTGTAGGTGTTAGAATGCAATGGCTGAGGTTCATTGGGTTCAAAGAGATCTAGACTTAGACATGGCTATAATCATACCAGTTTGTACACTTAAGATTTAAGAAGTGCAATGAATGATTTAATGGGTGCTCAGTCTCTCTCAAATACAAATATACTGGTTTATGTAGCCCTGATCAGTCACGGTGACTGGGTTTCCCCCTTGATACATCCCATTGCTGGGCTCAAGGGTGGGAGCACAGGCAGTGAATTTTTTCTACATCAAAATTATGACTAGCCAAAATAAAGAATACCCGAAAGATATCTTTCAGGCTCTGATTCTGAAAAAGAATTAATTACTGAATTTCCAATATTTCTTGTGTTTGCGTCCCTAGATGAAACTCCTCTAGTAAAACTTTCGCCTTTCTTGATTGAAAAAGTACTATCCCCCCCCCAAAAAAACAGTTAAGAAATTTAGATATGGCAGTTTGCTAGTAGAAGTGGAAAATAGGAAACATGCCAAAAGTTTAATCAAGATGAAGACTTTCCATAACATAAAAATAAAAATCTTCCATCATGGAAGACTCCTAAGTGAGTCATTAGAAGCAGAGTTGTTTCTGGCCACACTTGAAGAAATCATATCTGCCTTAGGAAACCAGGGGCGTATGGGGGATTACAATAAAAAGGAAAGGAGAAACTATAATAACAGATACGTATATTCTTACTTTTGTCACGTATCAAATCCTGAGAAAAATAAATCCGGTACAACATTGAGCCAGTAGGACAATACATTCCTGCTCTACTAAGGTGCTTCAAGTGCCAGAAATTTGGGCATCATAGGGACAGTTGCAGGAGTCACCCAACATGTGGAAGATGCAGCCAAAGGGATTCAGACCACATGGAAGAAGAATGCCACTATGAAGTAAGATGTGCTGCCAGAAAAACCATCCTGCATATTCATGATCCTGCAACTTTGGGAAAAGGAGATAGTCAAGGTGAAGCATAAATGAAATGTTTCATTTGTAGAGGCAAGGTAAATTGTAGAAAGCTACATGAAAGGCCCTTTCTATGCAAAAATAATGCAAGGAATGACCACAACGAATACCAGTCAACCTGACAAATACAGTGCTTTCATTGAGAAGTTTGTACACTTGGGACCAAATGACTGGCTCAAATTTCAGAACTACTTAAAGGACATATCTTCCAATGAGATAGTGCAGACTGAACCACAAAAGAAAGCCAATGAAAGAATTGAAATTATAAAGAAAAAAACAAATACAAAATCTACCACTCAAATACTAACCACTCCTCCAAAAAATACAAAAAGGTCACAGTGATCTATCCGTACACCAAAAACCATCAAAGATAAATTTAAGAACTTATCTCCCAAAAAAACAGAATCAGCCAAACAAAAATCAGGAATTCAGAATTACCAAATTCCTACCCAAAACCAATTTGACAAACTGGAAGAAATGGCAGTGGAAAGCTAGAACCCACAAATGGCCAAAATCTCCAAACTCAAAATCTTGGAAAATTAAATTACAACCACATACTAAACTAAAGCCCAAAAACATTTAGCAATCATGTATCAAATAATTCAATGGAACTGCTGTGGAATAAAGGCAAACATAAATGAACTGCTTCTGCTAATAACAGACCTGTCACCAGTAGTTGTTTGTCTTCTTTAAGCAAAATAACAAACTGAATATAAAAGAATATCATCAATGCAACTACACACATGACAGTGATCATCAGGTGGTACATCTGTCCTAGTTAGAAATGAAATAAAATAAATTTAACAATTACTTTTCAGGCGACTGCTGGTAAAGTGACCTTACACTGGCCAATAAACAACTGCTCAGTGTATATCCCACTGAATGAACCCGTAAATGAAGCTAATATTCATGAAATCCTAAGGTAACACTCTGCTTTTTTTTATTATACTAGAGTACTTTAACTGACACAGCACCATATGGGGTTATAAAGAGACAAACCAAAAGTGAAGGACCTTAGAAACAATAATTTATAACAACAATTTATGCATTTATAATGATAAAGCCCCAACTTAAATAAATTTTCTGGCAGCTACCCAGCATTAGATTTATCCCTATGTGATCCATCAATTTATATTCATTTCTCTTGAAAGGTACTGGCAAACACATGCGGTAGTGATCACTTGCAATCATCTTACAAAACTTGGAATGTAATGACAAAAATCCTCTCTGTTGGAAATTAGGTAGAGCAAACTGGGAAGAATTTAAAAACCAACATTCTGAAAAACTAGTTGAAGGAAATAGCATCAGTGACTTAAAACATTTCACAGAAATCCTCACCTCTATAGCTAAAATGTATTCCATAAAATTCAACACCAAAAATCACAACAGACCTTGGTTCAATGATAAATGTAAAAAAGTCATCAGGCTAAAAAGAGCAGCTCTAAGAAAATTCAAGAAACGATCTACAACCTCTAATTTGCTGCAATTTAAGCAACTCTGAGCAAAAGCACAGAAAATAATTAAAGAAACCAAAAAAGAATGCTGGAAAAACTATGTCAACACTCGATTCTGCAATAAAAACAAAATCTGCCTGGAATGTGATAAAGAAAATAGCAGGAAAATATCAAACAAACACTGTAAAGCACCTCTCAATAAATAACTCTAAAATAACTAGTAAAAAGGATATTGCTAACCACCGAGCCAAAGCAATATCCGTCACAATCAATGAGGATATCTTTGGAGCTCTTTGAAAAGCTGAAAGTGGAAACATAACTTGGGACTGGATGAACTTGATAGAGCTACAAAAAGGTGTTTCAAGGCTGTCAATAAAATTTCATCAGAGAAAGAATTCTGGGAACTACTTTTGCAAAAGCTAAAAAACAACAAACAAATTATTTACACTACTTACATTGTTCAGACTGTTGTACTCATCTTTATTAGAACAATTTTTCAAGAAATATCACCTGAAGAATGCTGGAGTGTACAAGAGCTGAAACATCATGAATAGGACAATAAAGATGAGGACAACAGTCTGAACAATGTAAATAGTTACCATATCTCAGAAATATGCAAACAAATTGTTACTTAATAGTTGCAAGGACTGGAATGTCAAATTAGATTTGGAACTTTGTCTCACTTTTCCATCTGGGATAACTGGATAACTGCTCATCATCCTGATCTTGTTATGTAGTCATTTAATTATGAAAAAAATTTACATCATTTTTTTCTTTTTAATACCACATCACTTCAGGAGAGCAATGCAAGCAATCATGACACTACAGATTTACCTTTAGATTGTCATGACATCTTGGGAGAGATAGTGCAGTGGCTTCTCATTGCCTTCTCCACAGTTTGAAATTCAGTTTTTCTTCTGTTATACTGGGTGCCACTCACGGCTAAAGAACCCAGTCTATTCTGCTATTTACTATTTAACCAATAGTGGGGAACATCAATGAATTAACAGTTCCTTTTGTGAAAGCCTATCAGCTTTCCATATCAATGTAAGCTGGAAAAGTTCAAAGATCCATGAGAGCAGTGAATAAAAAAAAATTATTTCTTAATCTCTCTATTTCTAGAATGAAGAGCTTATCCTTATTTATATTATATACACGGGGACCTTTCTCCCCATCTTTGTTGTTAGAATCACAACATTTCAGCCATTGTGTTACCCAGCCCTTTTCAAGTGCATGTCTGTCTGGGTAATCTTCAGGGAATTCTCAACTGTTGCTATTTCGAGGATGCCCCGAGTTACAGTGTATGATGCTTTGGGCTCTCAAATCCTAATCCCAGGGGTGAAGGCTTTGTTAGAGATACTGCAGCTGTTTTCAAATGTAGTAGCTATATGAATTTATTATTTTTTTATTTAAAAGTTATATTCTTTTAACATTAATTCTTTTACAGAAAAATATGACCCACAAGAAACAGATGAAAGTCTTGAATCCAAGTTCACTACTGTATGGCAAGCCTCTTTGAAGCAAGAGGAAGGGTAAGAATTATTTTTTTTTTTTATTCGTATTGTTACGAGTATGTATTTCTATAAGAAGGGATTCCATAGTTCTACTTGTTATTACAAAAAAGTTTTCATTCATGAAGTAGTTGTAAAATAGAGAAATTAGAAATAGAATGTTTGGAAGATTCTAGATCATTCTAGTATATTCGAGAAAAATCTAGATGATTCGAGAAACATCTAGAAATATGCAAATTAGGTGTTAGCCCCTATAAGAATGAGATTTTGGAAAAGGGTTGTCAGTTGGCGAAAAGAATTTCTGCTGTTATCAACTCCGGCTTTTGATTCAAGGACTATTATATCCATCCGAAAGAATCTATAAAAAGTTGCCGACCAACAAAAACCCAAAAGAGAATTTCATGGAACAAATTTGGTAAATAGAATTTTGACTAATTTTCATTGACCAAACTAAAAATTAATATTTATTTACACACCTTTGTGGATTTCCAAATATAGCACTTAGATTACTTCACTAGCCTTAAAGTGATAAAGATATTTGATTCCATTTCCTTCTCCCTTGTAACACTTCGCCAGTAACTCTGTGTTTTCTGTTTTGTAGGCCACAATTGTTTATCCTGTATATATTTTATGTTCTGTTTTAGTAAATTAAATATTTGTTTATGATTTAGCTCTGTGTTGTGGTAAATCATTTTTTTTCCTTTGTTACAATTATCAACACGTAACAGTATGATAAGAACAGTAGCTTTTTTGTTAATGTTACTTCACCTAAAATCATTTTTCTATATCTTGAGATAGATAATTAAAATTATCAAGCTGTCATTGTCAATAATTTTGCTCTTTATTTGAAAACAAATATAATTTACTTAAGTCCATAGAATTATATTAATAACTCATAGTGTCCCACGCACTTTGTTTACATGGTATAAAGTGTAATATTTCGCATCTTAAAGATTTCTACACTCTTTATACATTTAACAATAAGTTGTAATTCTATAAAACTTTAATGTTCCAAAATCTTTGTACAAGTGACTCATGACATAATTTTTAAGAAAATTCATTACTTTAATATCTATTAACACAAAATAACATATTTTTCTTTTTCTTCCTAAACTTTCCTAGTCAGCTTTGTGTACATGTGTGTTGTGATTATTTAGAATAAAATGCACTGGATACTCAGTTTGGGTTAGGTCTATTGTTTTTTGTTTTTGTAAAGGGGGTGATTACAGGGAATGAAAAAGAATGAGAAAACTTTAATGGGGAAAGGACCATAAAGGAACAGGTTTCAGGAGGACAAAAGATGGTGACTGACATTGCATTTAAATTTTTGGTTACTTTAAATGGTAAGGAAGCAAGAAATAGGAAGGGAGTTCCACAGGTGAGAAGTGCTAGAAATTGTTAAAATAAATGATGGCTGGTTCAACAATAAAATGTTGTAACCTTGTTGCCAATCTAGTGACACTATTTAAATTCATGCAGTCAAGGTACTAAGGAAAAACACTCATCAGTACAGTTTTTATGAAAATATTTGTAGAAAAGACTGAGGGAAGCCATGTCATATCAGTGAGAAAGTGACTGAAGTTGAGATGTCAAGTGAGGCTCGGTCTTTGAATTTTGCCAAGAACCTTGAAATGAATAGCGGGAACACCAGACCAGATATGGCAGCAGTATTCAATGCATAGATAAATGGCATATTTATAAATGTGCATAATGGATTCTGCTGAGAGAATTTTTCTGGCCTGACATTGTGAATCAACTTTCATATCAGTAGATATAGCAATTAATTCAATATAGTTGCTCCTCTTTATGTCTGTGGAAAATGTGAGTGCAAGAAGTTGCAAATTGTTGCTCTTCTGGCGTTTAGCATCAGCAATGCCGATAGCAGGCAGAAAAGGTTCTTTGTCATGATTAAGTGAAAACAGTTTTATTTTGGAGGCATTAAAATTTACAAGCCTTTTCTTGTCTCAGTTAACCACTGATTTGATGTCTCTTTTTTTTTTTTTTTCTTTTTTTTTTTTTTTTACTTTACTGTGAGTAGCCCTTGGGCTTTACATTGGGTAAACTAAAAAAAAAATTACATGTATCACATTTGTAAAAGAGAAAATTACCTTTTATTTTTATATTTCTGTGAAAATGTGTCAAATTAAAAAACACATACAAGTTATAAGTTAAAAGTTAATCTCAAATTTATGAGTTGATGTTAAAATAGATTTTATTTACTGTTGAAACTTGGATAAGCATGGAATAATAATAATACAACACAAAATGTACGTAAACAAAATGTATTGAAACAAGGAAAAGGTACACAATATTTACAGTTAGTTTTGGTATATTCTTGGGAGGACTGTTCCTGCATAATGGGTTGACTAAATCGCAGTCGGGCAGAGTCTCTGGATTCGATCTCCTCTTACTAACCCCCGTCTTCCGGTACCAACCCATATTTATATGGTCTGTACTCCACTTATGTAAATTAGGTGTATCGTACCACAACACCCTCCTCCCAAGCCTTGGAATCCCTTTTGGATTTCAAATTGGCTTCCTATATGGGTTGATGATTATGGCTATTTCTTTTGTAGATCCATTTGCCTAATTTTAATATTTTTTCCGTTTGATTCACGTTCAATGGGTCCGTCAACTTCCGTTTCCTACCGGATCTTCTTGGTTCAGGTGTATTCTGTGGAGGTTCTACCTGAAACATATCATACATTATATCAATGGGATCTTCGTCCTCATCCGGTATACACTCTTCTTGCTCTATACCGTAATCTTTTTTAAGTTGGTTTTGGTGCCTTTTATGAGTATTTTTCGCCCTTTAATTATGTAAATCAGGTCACCGATTCTCTTGTCCACTATGCCTCGTTCCCAGAACTCAACGTTGTTTTTATAGCACTTGAAAACACCTTCTCTCCGGGAGTGTATCTTTTTCTCGCTGTATACATGGTATTTTTTACTCTATTTTTTTCCTGGCAAAAGCTTGTCAAACACTGACTTAACTTTCCTAGCTAACATTAATTCAGCTGGTGCCATGTTTGAGTGTGTTCTCTGGTTTGGCGTGATTCTGTATACTTGTAAGAATTGCTGAAGCGCCTTTTCCCGTTGGAACTCCTGAGTCTTTCTTCAGAGCTCGCTTTAAAGTATCGACAAATCTTTCTGCAAGTCCATTAGACCTCGGATGATACGGAGGCATCGTTATGTGGTTAATTTGATATAACTCACAAAATTCCTTAAATTCTTCAGAAGTGAATTGTGTACCATTGTCACTCACAATACACTCTGGCACAATCAACCGCAAATAGTTCATGCAAAAAAGTTGTTGTGGTATTGGACATAGGCTTTTTACAGCGTAGTACTTCCGCCATTTTGTAAAACTATCTACCACTATTAAGTAGTAAAAATCTTCTACTGGACCAGCGAAATCAATGTGTAATCTTGTCCACGGATGATCCGTCTTGGGCCATGGTTTGTGTACTATAGGTGGTGCCTTAGCTGCTAACGCACACCCCTTACATCGATGAACCATGTTTTCGATATCCACATCCATTCCTTTCCAATGCACAAAGCTTCGCATTAAGCTTTTTGTTCTATTAATACCCGGGTGACCCATATGAAAGTCCCAAGTATTCTTTTCTGCAGCTTCTTTGGTATTACTACTCTCTCACCATATAATAAAACTCCGTCACCTATTGAAAAAAAATCTCCTGCACTTTTTTGGTCATTTGCTACCATTTTGCTTTTAATTTCTAAAATAAAATCATCGCTTTCAGCTTCTTTTTTTAATTTCATTTAGCGTAACCGGTAGCTCTCTTACAATGTTGTTTACCATGCTTTTCACCTCATAATCTGCTCTGATATTTGCAATAATTGATTCTTCAATCTTTCTTCTTGACTTGGTACTAGTCTTGATAGACTATCCGCATAAATTATCTTTTTGGATGATAGGTGCTTTATGTGAAAATCATAATTGAGAAGAATGGTTCCCCATCTTAACAGACGATTTGCTGTATAAACGGGTAACCCTTTCTTTGAACCAAAAATAGTGATCAGTGGTTTATGATCCGTTTCAAGGATACAGTGTCTGCCGTGGATGTACCTGTGAAATTTTTGTATGGCAAAAATGATACTCAGTGCCTCTTTTTTCTATCTGAGAGTAACTTTTTCTCCTGGGAGCAAAGTTCTCAAGCGTGTGCAATTGGTTTTCTAGAACCATCTGGCATTATGTGTTGAATACACCCTCCTATCCCGTATGAACTAGCGTCCACTTGCCACTACAATATCCAGTTTTGGATTGTAATGGGTTAAAAAGAGGTTTGACGTAAGCATTTTCTTTATTTCATCAAAGGCTTTCTGACATTCTACCGTCCATTCCCATGCCTTGTCTTTTTTTTAGCAGTTCATTCAACGGAGCTCTTAAATTGTACATTCCTTTAATGAACGCTTGATAATAATTTGCAAGCCCTAGAAAACTTTGTAGCATCGCCACATTAGTGGGCGTCGGCATGTCTCTAATCGCAATGGACCTTTCCGGATCTGGACATCTGCCATTTTTGTTGATTATGTGCCCTAAATACTTAATTTCCTCCAAATCAAATTCGCACTTTGACTCTTTGACTTTAAATCCAAAGTCCTGAATCTTTTTAAATACTTGATTGAGATGCTCTCGATGTTCGTCGACCGATTAAGCTCCTTACTATGATGTCGTCTAAGTAAGCGCATGACAAAGTCTAAATCATTCAGCATGACGTCCATAGCTTGTTGAAAAATGGCAGGTGCCACTTTAATACCAAAAGGAAGCCTGTTGTACTTGAATAACCCTCTATGCGTGTTTATCCCTAGTAACTTTGAACATTCCTCTTCGACGGGAATTTGGAGATAGGCATCTGATAAGTCAATTTTTGAAAATATAACTCCACCATTTAGCTTGTTAAAAATCTCCTCCGGACTCGGTAACGGGTAATGGTAGTCCTTAATTACCGAAGTTCAACCCTGTCGAAAAAAATCAACGCAGACTCTGACTTGGTTTG